ACTTATTGCAATTTATTTTATTTTATCTCTATTTACACGCACGATTTCATTTGTTGAATTTCAATTTTTTCTTCTTCCACGCTCCTAGGGACCGATGATGTCCACGGTGCAGGCTTATCCGTGAAAATCGGGAACGAAAGCAGATTGGCCTAAATAAAAGCATTTTTTCAAGACCAAATAGTTTTGACAAAAAAGTCATAGACCATATAACTCATTCACTCACTAGGATCATACGACTTATTTAGTTGTGGTCACAGTCGGCCATGTGTCTTAAGTTTTACAAAATTGAAATTGAGTATGAGCAAATTTTGTAGTCCGCCTTCCCAAAATATTCGATGTTCAGTTCCGCCCAACTTCAGGCACACCCCGCCCATTGCCAGAGGTCTCCTTTGTTAGGCGATAAGGGGAAATGCCCAATCTTTCCATTACTTATTCGGTCTACTCTCGGAGAATCTTCTGGTGATATGAACTGATATGTCATTCTGAGAAATGACAAGAACTGAATAATTGATCAGTTGCTGTAATTAAAAAAAGTTACCAGAATCATGACGGCACCCGAGATAACGAACACAATTGCCCATTGCATTTTGTTGGATTCATCATCCACGATGCCTGCTACCAAAGCTGGTCCAGTGAAAAGCGCTATGCATTTCATAAATTGAATTGTAGCAATGACGACATGGGCATGTTGCCTACAAATGTTACTACTATGAAAGGAATCGACTTAAGTCCAGAAATTCTTCCATAGGGATCATTCTAATCCTATGCGTGGAAGCCTCACAACTTAAAGAACTAGTAGAATTGCACAGAAGGCTGGTCCCCAAAAACGGTGTTCGATTTTTGGTATTCAAGGGATCCTCATCGCCCTTTCTCCTCCCGGTATCAAAGTCAGGCTCAAGCGGTATGGAGTTGAATCCCAAGGACGAAGTTGGTGTGGTATCGAACTTATAAGTGGAGGAAAAGATTAGGCTCAAAGTATTTGATGAGCGAAATTTTCAAACCTTGCATGAAGCGTTCCGCACTTGTAGAAGCCACCACAGTTGCAGCTGCTGAGGGCATGAAGAAGGGAAAACATGATGACTGCCACCCATTTCAGTTCCAATGGGATGAAACTGTAAATGAACGATCATGACGGATGAATGGGAAAAATAGTCATCACTCAGAAACTCACCCAACTACGCAGAATATCACTCCAACCACACCAACTGCTATCGTATTGAAGATATTCATTTTGACTCGCTCGGAAAGGAAGCTAGAAATGTTTCTCATTTTGGCTGTCTAATTTAGTAACTTTGAGCAGTCTGGCCATTGACGAAGGCAGCGAAGGAAGCTGTCGCCCAGCGACTCGTTCTGTTCCAAAATCTTACTGTCTCAAAATCATTGGCCAAAACGTGCTGATTGGGTCAGTTCTCCTTACAAAACCTCCTATCCTCAGAAGTACCCATCTTGAGGGTTCTATGAAAGGGTTGTGTATGTTTTGTTGATAAATCTTCCCTCATTGCTCCATCTCATCACATGACGTTCTACATAAGCTTTCGGAAGACTCCTATTGCTTCTTATCCCCATATGGGTGATCAGGGCTTTGCTCATGTGGTGGCACTGACAAAAAATGAAGATTTTGTCGGAACGTCCAGTTGGATATGAAAAAATCGTGAGACGTACGTGATTCGATCACTGCAATAGGCTGCTGTGACTTTGAGTGGCAGTTGAGCTACCGTAGTCAGTGAGATGAGTACGCCAGTAGTTTCTACTTCAAATCCAAAAACCCGTCGAAAGTAGATTGGGGTATAGGTAGAGAGCATGATCATCGAAGACATTTCACAAAATGCATTGAACCATACACAGAGGATTACTGGACTGGTTAGAAGAGCCTAAAAACTTCTGAGTTGAATCAACCGATGAGGGGCAATGCAACAATCACAATCACCTTATAGGGAACGTCCTGCTTGTGCTCAATATGATCGGCACTTTTGTCATTCTGAAAAAAAATAGAAGAATTATGGCAGTATGTATGGTACGGTTGTAGTCATTAGAGCTCTGGTTAGGTCCTGAATCTCATTTACTCGGAGAAAACGGAACAGAAACGCTAAAAAGTGATGGGCAGTTCGATAAGTAGAAGGGACCAAGTCGAGTAAGGGCTTATCCACTCGGCCATAGCCTAGCCTGGTTAAGCCTGCGATAAGAACGCGACAATTGTTGGCCACCTCGGCTCCCCCTACCCACGCAAGAGATGCAGGCAGGTTGAGCTGCGATGAGCCTCATACGTTCAGTTTTTGGCACCAAGCCGTTCCAGAAGGCGCATGTGGTAGTGAAGCCGATCAAGAAGAAAGTGCTGACAAATTTTGAACCCTCAATTTTAACTCCACAATTGACCACTCTGAGCAGGAGGAATGTTTTATTACCTGGATGTGCAGCAGTTCTACTTTCGAGACCCGTCTGCACAGCTGTGGATCATCTTTGTAGAAAACAAACCATAAGCCAAAAACGACTATTCCAAATATTCCATGTAGGTAGTATGATGATCGCCATCCGAGAGAGGAGGTGCATAACTGAAAAAAAGCGACTCCTCTTCGATTATCCAAAAGTTGACTGCGGGGGCAGTTTGTAATGGCAAGTGACACGCACAAGTATGATTCGCAACTCGAATCGAAATTCGTCATAACCAACTAAGCCTCCCTTTCAGCCGGAATCGTTTGATTGGGACCGAATCCATGAGAGGAAACAGACTTTCACATAGGCCAGTTCAAACTACCACTACGGCTCTCAATGGAAGGCGAATAAAAAGGAGGTGAGGGGAGGGGGCATCCCAAAGGCTGGATTGTTTTCGCGTATCCTGCTGAACAATCGGATGAAGGGCGCTGGCTAAATACCCTTTTCTGTAGGTCGACACCTAACCGTTCTTATCGAACTATACCCTCTTTGGAATGGTGGAAAAAATCAAAGTATTGTCCCTCGTCATCACGTGGATCAACCACAAAAATCAAGTATGACTAACATACCGTGTGGAAGTAACACGCGTGGCAGGAGCAACAGTAACAGGAGTAATACTGTAGCAGGGAGTTGGAACTAATTACCAGATTCAAATATAAACTCCCTCCGAGTTACCGCGAATTCCTTGGAAAAAAGTAAAATCGTGAAATCGAATTCAAAAAAATTACTCACATAACCGGTAATAACATTGGTAAGAATGGCTGAGGTAGGAGTAAATGCTGTGAGAATAGAAATAAATATGGCTACTTCTGTAAGCGGGGCCCATCTCACACACATTAATCCAATGGCAGCAAAATCAGCCGAGTAGGCCAGTCCCTGGAAGAAAGACTTTGCTTTAATGGAACTAAGTGAAAAAGAAAAAAAAAACTCTTTTTTTTACTTCTTTTGACTTGATGTTTTATTAACTGCTGTTATTTCGCCGCAGTACGCGATTCGAAAGTCTCACAAGGTTGGCGATTATGGTGATCTATTTTTTTCTATTTTTTCTGTTCGTAGTATATAAGAAAGATTCACTTTGCTACCTGCAAAAATCGTATAAACACGAGAAAAGGAAGACCAATCTTGGCAGCTAGAGGGATCAGTAAAGTTGAAACGATGGATAGTGTACCAGCAGCCAGAAAGGGGTATCTAAAAAAGCAAATACTCAGCGACTCGAGAAGTCGATTATTTCAGCGATCACAGGATTCGGTAGGTTCGGTTACCGTACTACAAGGTCAGAACACTCCTTCGAAAGAGGTACATAGGTCTGAGATATGTTTCACGGGAAGGTTCGTTGTGGAAATCTTCCCCGGTTGCCCTCCAAAGACTATCATACTTGCCCCTACCGTCAAGAGAGGAACCGTATACCGAGATGAAGAGGTTGTATGATGTTGTTCAAATCTTTGAACCTAATTCAACCACTGGATGTTCAGACGATCTACGACTCGAGGGAATTGAGCTTTCGTGAAGGGTAAAAACTGTCATTTTCCTGAGACACAGGTGGGGAACGTGAATTAGCACCATTGCCGAATACAGCAATCCCTGGAAACTGTTCCCTGCGTTGAATCGCTCTACTCACTATTTTTTACTGAAAATTGCAATTTTACTAAAGTAAGGTGGGTAAATATAGGGAACAGCGAACCACGATCACATGATGGAACCCTACAACCTGAGCCGAGGTTAGCCGTGATTTGATTAGGGAAAGTTACATACATGACTTTTCAGAAGACATGTTTGTAAATGGACTGAGAAGGAGAAACTTCCCGTTGACAGTACACAAATCGAGTTCCTGTTTTATACTTACCGTGCTCCATATTTGATATAAAGATAGTTGATGGGAAAAGTTCCCACAATAGTGCCAGCAGCTACAGCCCAAATAATGGCACTTTTCTCGGATTGCGTATAGTCATAAATGCTTCGAAGGGTCTGGAATCAACTCTCTAAAATTCGTGGAGATACATCTCGCTGAAAGTGATTGAAGAAAGGAATTTTTCTGTTTTGCTGACGCAACTCCTTTCGGAGTCGGAACTATTATCAGTTTGGGCGGTTTTATTGCTGATTCGCTTGCTCTTTTACCTCATTTGACCGTTATCACTAAGGATATTGAAGGCGAAACATCTTCAACAAGGCCGACACCGAAACTTTGATCTCATTCACTTTCCGTTCGTTCTTCACATACCTTTCCTTGATTCTATATCAGCCTTACCTACCTCTACCCAATGTCTCCATTATTTCAAAGCCTTATGAACATTTCTCACAATAACTTCAATCCCAGACAGCACTTGGTTCTCCTGCTGGGCGCTTCGCCGTAACGGGTGAAGCTTGAGCAAATATTGAGATATAGTGTAACCTCTCTTGAATTTGAATCACATGTTGAGGCACTTCAATACACTCCCTTCAGCTTCGTGAATCTTCGAAGGGCTGCATTCATATCGGCTTGATACCCTGTTTCCGTTACTGTGTAGTTGATAGGAGTTCCTATCCAGAAAGTCACGTGATATTCACCTGTTGCACGAAACGCCCCAATCCGTTCTGCCCAGGAATCAGGTTGTATCAACAGACTAATTAATGTAACTATCAGCAAGTATAAATGGATCTGACCGACTTACTCCATTGCCATCGTCTATGACTTCTGACATGTCCTCCCTCATACAGATAAAAGTAAAATTAATAATAATATAGTTCGAACAGATACTGGTTAGACACATCAATCCGATTGCAAGTATCACAAATCGATAACGATCGCTTACGAGACCCATTCTGTAATCATTCACAAAGTGTTCATCAAAGAAAAGAAGAGCACGCGAATTGACGACTTTGAATTAAATAGTTTACAAGGACGCCACGAAATTGTAAAAAATAAACAAAAGGCAGCAATTCGCGATGGCATCGGGAAGTCGATGTGATCTGTTGTCTATCATGAATTATGAACTGTATATGCATGTCTACCACACTCTCTCTCCCCCTTAGATCCGGTTTTAGCCAAGGGAATGGTGTAACACATTTGACCGCTATTTCGACCAGCACGTCACTGCAATGGGACATTTTTCGATCCCCTCTTCACCCCTGTCCAATGGAACTGCCCCTTTACTCGTGAGATAAACGGCTGTGAAGGTGCTTTGGATGATTCCTCAATGAGACGAATATTTTTTGCCCCTAAGGAGGCAGCACATAGCGTTGTGGCATCGGAAAGCGGCCTACATAGACCATTCAAACACCCGCTGCCAGCTGGGATTCCCACTAAAGGGTGTACCAAATGCCTTCTGAAAGGTGCGCTGAAGTGGAATTCTAATGAACAATCAAGCACATTGTCCCTGTCGTCTCATCCAATTCTGCCCTTTCCTAATGCAATTGCACACGTTCCACGACAGGTACGTGAAACTCGTCCGAACACTTCCCTTTGTCAATCCCAGTGTCCTATAACTTTAGAGGCAATTTTTTTTTCGAAAATTGTATTACCGTTTTCTTGGGCAAATGCCCAAATTCTGCATCAACACACTAGAGGAGAAAATTGGCCTAGATTATAATAATGGGGTCTTTTACCATTAGCGCCAGAGTAGATGATGGGACGGACTTCTTCTTGAGGAGCACCTTGCTCAGGAGCACTAGTGACTTATGAGGAGCCAGGAGAAGGACCGTCTCTTCCAGTGTTTCTTTAAAGGCATCGTTCATGATAATTTTGGGTAATCCAGATTGTGATGAAAACGAAAGACAAGATCGAAACTAGTGCGACTGAGGTGAAGAAACTGCGTGTATAGGTGTTTCCAAAGTGAAAAAGGCTTTCAAAAACCATTAAAAAGGGGGCTGGACGAGAATGAAACCAGAAATATCAAGAAGAGTTGGGCGTCCGGACGAGCTAAACAGTGTGTTTCACTGCGCGCGTGTGGGTCCTGGTGCGAAGAACAGACAATGGTAAGCAAAAATTCATTCACTCATAAGCATAAATCAACAAAATAACCCTAGTAACAGAAAAAGTAGCTCACCTTTCCCAGCCTCTAGGAGTAGGAAATTAAATAAAGGATCGCGGCAGCAAAAAGAA